TTAGTCGCTGACTGAACCTTCCCCCCCCCCCCCCCCTTTTTGGATTTCCTAATTTGATTGGGTTAATTTAGGGATTAATTTGAATTTGAAATTATTCAAATTCATTCCTAATTTGGTTCATCTATTTTAGGAAAGTACTTAATTTAAATCAATTTGAATTTTAAATTCAAATTAGATTTATTTCATTACTTTCCTAACTCATTACACCAAATTATGAAGCCTTGAATACTCTCATTAAATCCCTTCCCCTCACCATGCCGCCGGCCCCCTTGGTGGTCCCCTCTCCTTTAATGTTTCATTAAGGGATTGGATTGCATGCTATTTGAATTTCAAATTCAAAATTCAAATTTGCATTAGGAGTTAAATGCCCCCACAATTTCCTCCCTTTAATTAAGGAATTATTCGCAGCTTTAAATCTGAAATTTAATTTCAGATTTAAGCCTCTCTCTCCTATCTAATTAATGCACCCAATTAAGCCTTCAATCAGCCCATTAATGCTCCCATAACCAGCCGGCCCTTTTCCCCTTTCTCTCCATATTAGTTTGTGACTTATTTGGCATGCTCTTTATGCCCTGAATTTACTCCCAGATTCCCCGCCACTGCTGGGCAGAGAATTCCCCATAACACTCAGCTAGTTTTCTTGCATCTAGAGAGCCAGAATCCTGAATTGTCATAGTCCAAGTTGCTGTCCAGATTTCTGGATAGATTTTGTGTGCCGTCCAGAATTTCCAATTGCCAAAATCAGCCTTCTGTCTTGGGAATTAAATCCTTTCTTTAATTTCCTTTGCTGGCTGAAAATCTTCAATGCTGTCCCGTACCTCTTGCTAGACAAATGCTTGAATTCCCCTTCCAATTTTCTTTGCTCCTAAGCATAGAAAACTGAAAGTTTTCTCAGAATTTTGGGCTCAGATTTTGGTTCCAAAATCTAAAACGTTTTCTGGATTTTGGAACCTCTCCCTAGCAAACATTTTCTTTTTTCGTTCTACATCAGTTTCTAGTTCAGCTTCAAACAACAATTTTACTCATCAGAATTTTCTTTCTCGGTAAAGATGTCAATTAAATATATGAAAAAAAATAACATGCAAAACAAATCTTCTAGGTTCCTGTCTAGAGCATTGTAACGCAAATAAAACTTGTCATTCTCCAGAATTAAAAGAGGCGACAACAAAAGAAGCAAAAAAATGTGATAAAAACTCAACCAAAAAAGCATAGCATACTTTTTTCTTTTTGGCATCAGATAGCACCCACACGACCAATCATATTTTGTTTAGGGTTTTATTGAATTTTGTTTATCCTTCACTTACATAAATCAAATAATAACAATAATTATCAAAAAATTACTATGACTGTTTTGAAATAATGATTTTTTAACTAATCTTATCACGTGTTTGCATCCATTTCATCACTATATGATGTCATTAATCGCTTCAATAGGTAGACCACCCCATTGTTCTGATTTCAGGCTATTTTAATGGTTTCTCCAAATTAAGGGCAAAAATGAAAGGATACTATGCCAAATATGAAGGGGTAATCAAACTTAGCAATAATTGATGCATAAGCAATATTAATAATAACTATTTATTATAACTTTATTAATACCTCAATATCGGTAAGCATTTGACTCTTGTAAGGCTCTAACCAGGGTGTCTCCAACAATAAGGAAAGGAGATGGCGGCAAAATAGGAAATCGTTTTCAATGACTCCAAAGTACTATGGACTGTGTGATAATATAATGAATCTCATCATCATCGACCACAATAATAATCTTTGTACTTAGTGTAAGATTATCAATATCAACACACTAGTGCAGCCTCCCGTGAAATAAGAAAAACACAAATATAGCATACAAAATTGGGAAAAAGAGTAAATATTAATGATGGCATACCTATTAATCAAATTCTATCATCCACTACTTGATGTGAAGATGACGTAGCTTTAGCATCTGTCATAAAAGGTACCCTTTCGTGCTCTGGTACAAGGGGTGACGTGAGATAGAGCATCATCTCTAATACAACTCACTGAGGATCTCCCTCCACTATATGGTGGAGAATGAGCTGGCTCTAATGGCTCCATAGAAGGGGTGACATGAGAAGACTCACTCACACCTCTTACGATGCAAAACCTTTTTAGCTCTAGCAGGCGATGCACTTCAGCCATTGATATAGAATAGCATTATAACATGGGAAAGCATAATAGAATTGGTTTTTTTTTTTCGTAAGGAAATTTGCGAATAAAATTAAGCATGAGATCATAAGAATACTTCAAATGAATTGATAGATTAGGTTTATGTTGCACAATCTATGCTGATGTTGGGTCATTCTATTACATCATTAAAGTTGAGATTACGAGAACTTAAGAGGTACAAAGTGTTATGGCACTTACCCTTTTAGTATTAATAAGATATATATGTTAACCTCTTCTTTAACACTCCAAGAACTTCCATTAAAAAACCCACTTATAGACACCAGGATCGTAAAGAACCAATCTAGGTCCAATCACTATGGCTCTAAGATTTCTCTAGCTGGTATATTATTCCCCTCTGAAGGCCCTCCACATAACCTCAAATTTGTAGGCGGGCTTCGCTCTCTCAATGAACTAAGAGAATATTCCAGATGATGGCCCAAAGATAAGCCTTATATCAGTTAGCTCAAAGCCTAGTTTAAACCCCATTTATCGGTCAATCTAAGCTTTAATTCTGACCTTCTGCCCCACTAAGGCAATCCAAGCACCCATTAGGCCTATCAAAAACCTAGTGAAACCTTCCTAGACTAATCATTCCTAACATAGGGATGACCAATTTCCAACCCTAGAAGTCAGTCGGAGTTAGGTGACACGTCATACACTCCTCTGCTCCCCTCCAGATGATAACTTCTTAGTTAATTAGTATGCTCAATCGATGTTATATTGATCTAAGTCCCTAAGAGATTATATTGCCAAGTTAACTGAGCCAACCAAGAAATTACTGTCTAAGAGCTGCTTGTTACAAAGCTGGTATTTATCGTGGGTCTTCAATACTTAACTTTTTAATATTCTATTGCAATGAAGCCCCAACAATGAAGGTTGAAGTGCTGAAGTTCAAATCCAAGTTCATTGACACCCACGAGTTTACCCTATGCTCCAATAGGTGAGAACTTTACTCCGGGTTGGAGCACGGAAGTAGCCATCTGATCAGCTGGAAAGGGCTGACTTGCATCATAAGGACTCCGGTGATCTATAGTAAGAGCTTTCAGAGATTTAGCAAGCCAAAATTGTCAACCAAATCAGCAAGAGTAGCCCAACTTGTGTAATGCTCTTGGTCTAAAGCAACCTTCCCTTCAAAAATTTGAGACAATTTAAGAAAACGAATATTTTTTTATAACTAGCACCACTTCAGCACCTGTCAACGAATCCTGACGACTCCAAATTTCGCCACCAATATAATGTAAGCAAAAAAATCAAGTACAATTAAATCTTGAAGGCATTGCTGAAAAAACTTTTTAATGAGGGGGCGATACCAAGGCCGCCTCTAGGAATAAATAATGTTGGCCCATCGACACAACAACAAGACTGAACAAAATGCCACCCCCAAAGCAAGGCAATAAGGCAAGTCTTGCATCATTGAACGCCTTAACGTGATCATTTGTTGTGCAGGCTCTAAAGTTGCTTAAAATCAAAGTCTACAATAACTCAACTCTTGTGGGGTAAACTTCACCAATGCTTCATTATTTACTTTATAGTTGTCGACCTACCCTCCTCATGGAATGCCTTAAACCGCATTGCCATTCGGGCGATGATAAATATTACTGAGGTGTGTATTCTCACTCTGGAGGATGGAAAATACATTGATAGTCGGAGGGAGGCCTTCATGGTTCTCTGGGCGGCGCCATCGGTATAAAATGACATCTTCAAGCAACCTTGCCTCAAAAATGTCAACAGCTTCTAGGTTGTTGTATCGATCTACAACCTCTATCTCATGTTCCTCACTATGATCAACATCTCATTGGTGTGGGGTAGGGATGCAACGTTGGACCCAATATGAAAACTCGACATGAAAAATGTGAGTTCAAGTCAACAACTGTAATATTCAAGTTCAGCAGTTCAAGTCATGTCATGTCAAGTTCTCATAAACTCGAAAATAATGATTTAATTATTTGATTTTTTAAATGAAAAAAAGTTTTAAATTACAATGTTTTTGTTATTTTCATTGAGATATGGTGCCCAAATCAATTGTTAGGAGTGTCAATTTGAGTTCATGGGTCAGATTCAATTTGACTCAAACTAAATACTCTTTACCCAAACCTAATTGATTTATTATATACAACATCATCAAGCCTTTATCCCATTACGTGGGGTCGGCTACATGAATCATTTTTCTCTATTGTGTCCTATTAAAAATCAAATTCTCATTTAGATCTAATAGAGAAAGATTATTTCTAATATTTTGTAACCAAGTCTTTTTAGGTCTGCCTCTACCTTTCTTAACATAAGTCAAATCTACTACCTCTACTTTCCTAACAGGATCATCGGAAGGCCATCGTTTTATGTGACCAAACCATCTAAGGCGACTCTCTCTAATCTTATCTTCTACTGGAGCTACTCCAACCTTTTCACGTATATGCTCATTTTGTATCCTATCTCTAAGGGTAAAGCCACTCATCTACCTCAGCATCCTCATCTTTGCCACACTTAACTTAGTATTATACTTCTCTTTTAATGGCCAACATTCGGCACCATAAAGCATTGCAGGCCTCACCACCAACTTATAGAATTTTCCCTAAGTTTGAGGGGTACTTTTTTATCACACAACAAGCCCGATGCATTCCTCCACTTCAACCATCCAACTTGAATTATACTGATAATATCCCCATCTATTTCACCATCACTCTGAACAAAACGTGTACTCTTATTAATGACTTGATCGCTCAAAGTCACAATCCCCTCACTAGGTCTATTACTACTAAAATTACACTCCATATATTTCGTTTTAGATCTACTCAAGCGAAAACCTTTAGACTCTAAGGTTGACCTCCATAATTCAAGTTTACCTTCAACTCCCTCTCTAGTCTTATCAACAAGAAGAATATCATCAGCAAAAACCATACACCAAGGTACATCCTCTTGCAAATGTCTAGTGAGAGCATCCATGACTAAAGCAAAGAGATATGGACTTAAGGCTGATCCTTGATGTAACCCAACTAAAATAGGGAAATACTTGGTCAAACCACCTTGTGTTTGAACACAAGTAATAGCTCCTGCATATATATCTTTAATGATTTGAATATAAGCATTATTAACTCATTTCTTTTCAAGAACTCTCCATAGCACTTCTCTTGAAACTTTATCATATGCTTTTTCTAAAATCAATAAATATCATATGTATATCCTCTTTATTTTCTCTATATTTCTCCATCAAACCTCTTAATAAATGTATGGATTTCATAGTAGACCTACTCGGCATGAATCTAAATTAATTTTGAGAAACATTAGTATCACGCCGCAACCTATGCTCCATAACTCGCTCTCATAGTTTTAAAATATGACACGTTAACTTAATTCCTCTATAATTCCCAGAATCTTGTGCAACACATTAAAAATAGGAATTAATATACTCATTCTCCACTCATCTGGCATCTTTTTAGTCTTCAAAACAGTATTAAAAAGTTTAGTAAGCCAAGAAAATTCCTTCATCTCCTAAGCATTTCCACACCTCTATTGGAATATCATTAAGTCCAACAGCTTTTCCACACTTTTTTTAAGCCTCTCTAACTTCGGTTTTACTAAAGAATAATTGACCCAAACCCAGCTCAACTCGAGAACCCTAACCCGATCCATCTAACTCATTTATTATATGAATCATGAAATTTTTTATATCAACGTGACACAATTAATCTAAAAATGACTAGTTTAAGCCAATTAACCCAACCGAAACCTACCTAACCCAAATATAAATAGTAATTGGGTCAATTGAATTATTTTGGGATTATTCAATTCAACCCAAACTCAAATTTTTTTACGCGTTTACAGTTCAGATCATGTAACCGAGGATGATGATCAAACCATCCAACATATCTCTTAAACCTTGATAATGTCTGAGTGATCCTAGAGGCCCCATTACCCCACTTTGTGAAGAGAATCTAAAGATAAATAGCAAGTTGGCCAAATTGAGTCAGATTTATCTCACGCTCAGGGGAGAGAATTCTAAAATAATGCAATCAAATATATCTTTGTACAAGGAAAAAAGTGACAACATCTTGTGCGCTGCATCAATCACACTTGACATGCAATTCAAAGTGAAGGTACCCTTAGATGGACAAGTTGGTATTGGTAATGATAATTTTTCACCAAGAGAGAGGCCCTACTTTAAACCTCATTTGATAAAATTTGTGATCAAATGACTTATATGCCATGTATGTAGGAACCAAAACTGTTTGGGCAGCTTACACAATAATCGATTGAAGTCAATAAGTACAACATCAAGAACATCCCCCAGTCGACCATCAAAAGCTCAAATCTCAGTGGGTTTTGCTGTTGAATTCACTTAGAAGGAAAAACCCAAGACATGCCCAAGGAGATAAAGGGACCTTGGATATTTTCTAATGACAACTTCTAGAAGAATAAAAGCAGAATTGACATTGTACCTTCAAGCACGCAAGGAGTAACTACAATGACAAGTTAGGATTCGATGCAACCAATAATCAAACGAATACAAATATGAAATATGTACTTGTTAGATTGTGGCTAGCAAACCCAAATTAGAGTGACGATGTTAGAGCTTATTTTTAACATAGTACTTGGAAAAAGTCCTATAGCTAAAATCGTCTGATTTGACTCGCTAGAAATAAAGCACTTTCACCTCAAAGAAAATTAATTAGCAAATTTATTAGTAAAATACATGAAATATCACACCACCTCAATAAAAAGCTAATTGTCTAATCTATAGAGGATCCAAACGCTGTGCAAGTGGATGAAGACCCAAGTTGGATGGATGTGATAAAGCTTTATCTAACCAACAACACAATTAACAGAGCACGATAATGATCAATTGATCAAATACAGAGTTTACATAATTTATATCTAATGGCATACTTTCAGAAAGTGTCATCAAAATTTAACTTTGTTGCTTGACATAAATTCAAAGGAGTGTAGAAGCTATTCTATCGTACAAGTAATTGCAAATAAAGTGTCGCAACAAGGATTACTCTAGGAAGAAATCCAAGAATGAAGGAAATGCTTGAATTCATAGGAAGGAGCGGGGAGTGTCAAGCTCATTCCAAGCTTCTACACTAATTTATTAAGCAATTCCAGCCAATCACCAATCTTTGAGCATTCGCCATGTGAGGAATAGATTTTTTATCTTCTTCCGGACAATAATAGTCAGCAGAAGTTCCAGTTGATATTGATCAACAACTTCAAAAAATGAGTAAGAGTGAAAGCCTCAACCAAAGCAACCATTAGAGCAGTGATCAAGTTCCTCTAGTAGGATATTTTCACGAGATTTTGGTTATCGCTTGAAATTGATCGAATTATCTTAAGAATATGGGGTGGAAAAAAGAACTTTTAGTTGACTACCCTTTAGGCCAATGGGTAACCGAAGTTGCAAACAAAAAATTAACAACATATTGAAGAGGGCATTAGCCATTGAAGTGGCTGGAAAAAAGAACTTTTAGTTGACACCACTAACACCGAGCAAGCCGAATCTACAAACAAAACAATTATCACAATGTTTAGCCAAGAGTTATGACAGTCATTAAACTTTACAACAAATATGATTGAACCTACAGTTTAATGAACCGAATTGAACAAAATCCCAACTAGTTCATATCTAGCTAATTTATACACCAAATGGCCATGCAAAATATCAAACCCAATATGACCAACAAATTATACATAAGTTGGGACTAACACACCATTTCTTAGAAAAAAAATGCACGAGAGGAACTGACACAAGGCACCAGTGGGAGACATTAAAAAACATAACTACATTCCCATGTAAATAGAGAATGAAACATTTGCGACAAGCAAGATAAGGCTAAAACCACGCACATTTGTTTGCAGTAAAAATAAATAATATAGAATTACTGTACAATCGCTAGAAAAGCATTAGCTAGTTATCAAGCTATTTCCACAACATTCTGTCTCTCAACTCTTGGTCAACCAAACAGGAGAAATCATGATCATACACTTCCACAACACAATAATTTCCATGAAAGGTCACAACATTTCAATCTTCCACAGCCCAAGCTAACCCTAAGAACTCTTCAAAATTCAGCAAATATCCCGATAATTCTAACCCTAAACAATCACATCTATTTAAAGCATATAAATATGATCTAAATTACTAAACATACCCAACATAAATCAAAACCTGCCTAAACCGCCCCCTGCTCTTCAAGTAATGGGTCTCACAAGGGGGACCGGCGACTGGCTTGGCCGTCTAGAGTAAACCAGCCCTAGGGATGGTTCAGCCAGCCCTCCTTGGGCCGGTTCCGGTCTAACATATTACATAAGCTACTATTAATCTCTTAACCTTGCTCACCATTATCATCTATAATAAAGGCTATCAGATGATCAACATCAACATCAAGCCTTTATCCCACTTATAATAAAGGCTCTCAGACGATCATACAAAACAATTCAAGACTTCCTCATGCTCAATTTCTTCCTACTTTAGTGAGAGGATTCTCATTTAACTTCACCTACTAACATTTGTTGTTTTGAGGTTCCTCAAATACAGGAATCTAGAAATGAGATGGTATGGAAACTAATGATTGTTCTAATCCCTGCAGCATTTATATAATTATATTCACTACCTCATGCGCAAGATTAGAATCATTCAAGTTCAACATCTAATCAAGCTCCTATTCCAGCACATCCACGTGATATGTAGAAGATCAAATTATTGCACGACTGACTGATTTTCACATAGAACAGAAATCATGCAATATACTAGTGTAAGAAGAGAGAATTTTACCGTCATTAGTCTCTGCAGCAATTTGCTCAAGATCCAGATCCACATAACTCTCTTTGCCAAATAATGTAAAGCCCACGGTGGCCTGCACGAAGATGTCACCTTAGAATGACTAAGACGTCTTATAAATTCAATGTGAAAGGTGAAATATGACTAAGATGTCTTCTAAATTCAATGCGAAAGGTGAAATATAAACTTCATGTTTGTGAAAACCTTTTCCTGAACTCCTTAAAACATATTATTGTTACTAAAATAAATAAAATAAACATTTTTAGAAGTAATAGTTGATCAAGATACTAACTGTTGCGTTTTCTCAAGTATTACCTTTTTATTAGTATAATCTAGATGCCAAAGACGACCTGTGAACTCTACAAATGGCCCAGAAAGAATGCGAACAGTTGCACCTGGAACAAGGAATTTAATATCCCCTACAGCCAATGGGGCATCTCCAGAATGCACCAAGTCTTTCCCCAACTGTCCTTTGGTATTAGTAACCTTCTTGGACAGGGAAATTCTGGAATAAACATCAAAATTTAAGTTCTGATCCTGATATTTTGTTTCAAATGCTTGGTCAAATTTTTGTTGTTCCTCTTTAGCTTGTTGGAAGATATTTTCCATCTCCTCTGCTGCAACAGGTTTTGGTTTGTTGATCTGCCGCTTGCTGATAAGGTGCAAAGTCAACCACAAAAATATTGATAAGGGATAAATTGTTACAAACCATTGTAAGCAAGGACATTAAAGAAGAAATGAAACACTACATGCATCTCATAGAATGCTTTTGCTACAATCTGAAGATTATGAACAACCACTGGCCAGACTTACCATCAATGTATAACTTGTAGGATGATTAATACCATCAATGATAGGTTAGCTTGGCACATGCTGCTTAAAATTTTTTTGAAAATAATGTTCACCAAAAGACATTGTTTAAAAAATATCATTTTAATGCGTCGTACACAACAAGATGGTGTGAATAATTTTAGGGGTAAGTTAGACTTAATATGTCATGTACAACGGATAAAGAAGCTTGGTTATGCAGTTTTGAAGTGCAAATCTTTCTTTTCAATTAAAACTAACTAATATTATGATTAACTGCTAGTTGAAAATTCACGAAAGGATGCAAAGTCAATGAAAATTGTATTCTTTTGAATTTATGAAATAAAGGGTGACAAACTAAGAAAAGAACACATAAAGTGATGAAAGAACAATGATAATACCAGCGTTTTAAAATCACTAAATATAATGCAATGCATAAGATTTCTTTTCTTTTCTTTTTTCAATGCACAAAGCGCAAAGCAAATGGGTGCTTTTATTAAATAAAATACTCATGGGTTGTATATCATATACACATATATTATGTGCATACATTAGTTATTTAATTATTCAAATTTAAACCATATCAGGAAATAATACTTTAGCAAAATAATGAAGCAAAGTAAGAAAACTACAAAATTAAGAATACACTTAATGAGATTAAATGAAGTCCGAGATACGGTGGCATTGTGAAGCGAGAGATAACATGAAGATGAAGCATTGAAAAGCATTATTGAGAAGAAGCTGGCGACCAAGAAGCTACAAGTACAAACAGTAAGAACTAGTGAAAAGTGTATAAGAGCTAGTGAGGGAGTGAGCATAAATTGAAGAACCACTAAAAAGCAACAAACTAAAGTGAAAGACAACAGAGATCTAATGAACAATGACTCAATGATCATGAGAAACAACAAAGAAAAGAAAATGATCGTGTCTAATTATTGTGATAGATGTTGAACCAAATCACTAAATCAGGATTTTGTTCTGAGCATAAATTGAGCGCAAAGCGCTAAGATGTGTTGCAGCAAAACCTCTGTTTAAAATTGCACAATAAGAGGCGCGCCTCTGCGCAATTCTGTCCAAAAGCGCCTCAAGGCACACGCAATTTGGACACTGATTGAGGCGTACACCTCATCGTTGGGTCGATTGACCGTGCGTTGGGGTGCTGTTTTGATGCTGCATTGGTGACTGTGCGTCTCATTATTTATTTTGCAGTCGTACTTTGCTTTGCTTGTTTTTTATTTTTCATATATTAGGTAGGATCTAAAGCTCTCAAATGCTATTATTTAGCGAGCTTCTAATCCTCTAAGGACTTGTACTATTATCATTATTAACGCATAGGCCCAGCTGTGACTTTTATTAAAAAAAAAAACTATTATTAATGTAAAAGGGCCATTCTTTTAATTATTGGTGATATGTTTAGCATTATTATTTAAGTTGCTATCGATCTGAACACAATCAAAGAATATCAAGCTCATAATGAACTTGTTAAGTAACTTGCAAAATTCGAGCTAATTAACAAGTTAAATCATAAGAATAAATTGTTTTAATAAAATCATCATTTGCGTCTACTATATTTATAATTACCATCATAAATGCCCTCAATTTTACCTCATAAATGACAATTTATACTAAAACATGTCTCACCCTTATTGACCCCTTCACAAATTTCTGATTTTTTTTAAAAATAGGGTTGGACAAATATGCACATGCCATGCACTTTTTCACAATAATTATGTATCACATAAAAGTTATTAATTACTCCTAAATATAAAAGTATTTCTAATATAAAAATGCGGCTAGTAAAAAATACTATAGAATAACATGCCAAATGGCATGCTTTGCTTTATTTCTTCTTGCCGGCTGCTCGTATGGGCCCAACCACTCCAATCTAACAAACCGGGATTGGCAAGCTTCCTGTTCCCCGGGACAAAAGCAGGCCGCACGCGATCCACCCGACGCCGACGTTGTGTTGAGGGAGAGGAAAAGGGAGAGAAAGGAGCGATAGCGAGAAAGAGAAAGCAGGCATGTCCTTCTCCTTCTTCAAGCCCTCGCGAGGGCGATCGAGCCCGGCTGAGCTTGTGAAGGCGATGAGGGATAGTATCCTCGCCCTTGATACGAAGACTGCTGCCAAGGTTAACGCCCTTACCAATTTATAAAGTCATCGTCTTTACAGGCTCTTTGCGCATTGTTTAATAAATAATATGACGATCCCGGGCTCTTTTCTTTTGTGGAGATCTTCCCCTTACTAGAATTTGTGCGTTACTGTGAAATGGACTTCCACTTGGTTGAGAAGTAGTGAAAGGGGTTCATGGTTGCTGTAAAATTTATAATTTTTGATGACGTTCTGTTTGGAACGTATGGAACCGCATTGATATTACTTGTTTGATTTTCGTGTTTCTTATTTCCTGGCAATGATCCTATGTTCATATTTTAAATTTTTTGTTTTTCTGGCTAGTTGATCTCCTAGATAGTTAAAGCTGTTTCGTGATTTTCTTTTGGATTATAAATTGGAAATCAGCAGTATTGTGGGTTTGAGCGGCAGAAACAAACTATATTGGGCCTTCCAAAAATGAAAAAAAAAGAGAGAAGAAAAACTCATGCTTTAGGGGTAGCTTGTTAGGTTGGAATTTTGTTTTGAACTTTTAGGATTGTTCTGTGCAAGATAAGATTAAGTCAGTGAAGATTGGTATTTCTTATTAAGATATGGTGATATTGAAATTAGGATTAGAACATTCCTATTTGATATGCATAAGACTTAACCTAACTATTGGTGGTATCAACGAGTTAGTTCAACTCATTTGTCAATCATCAAATGTGGGACTATTTCCTTTTTGGTTTACTCTCTTTTGCGTTCAAACACAACTTATCTTCAAGTATTATTTTCATTGATTCTTGTCATCATTTTCTTTAAGCAGATGCTATGTATATTATGTGAAACCAAGAGGAAGCTCCATGGATTGTTATTTGTATTCTTTTGAACCTTACTCGGACATGGATTGTGCCATCCCTAGAGTTTCACAATGGATAATAGGAATCTTACTTGGCCATTGATTGTGCCATCCTTAATGATTTCCATGGTTAAATGGATTGTGTAGCAAATCATTGGCTTTTACACCATGAAGATTAAATATCATTCCTACAAAAAAGTAGTCAAACAATGGTTGGGGCTGTCCTATTGATGAGGACATCAGATTTCGACACGTGTACCATCGCCGGAGACACAGATCGACGGCTACGATCCAAAGTCTCTATTTTTGATTTATTTGCATTTCCTAGTTTACCCCTGAGGGCATTGAGTCGCTTATTTAGCCCTGAGGGCATTTATGTCATTTCAGTTGTGTTTTATTTTGGCCTACTTATATGAGGCCTCCTGCATTGTAATAGTTTAGTTTTTGATGAATGAAAAAATAGCTCATATGTTCTCTTTGTGAGTTCATGAAACCTCCAAGATCTCTTTGTGAGTTCTAGAAGAGGAGATCGTTGTAGATCTCTTTGTGAGTTCTACCGGTGGTGTGGTGCAAGGTTAGTAAATCCGGCAATTTCTATTTCTCCCGGAACCCAATTCTCTCTTCCCCCACCCAACCGACCCCTCTTCCTCCCAATTTCTCCTTGCCGTCGTCCTTACTGGGCCGGCCAGACTGCCGGCCCCTGGCAGTCACTTCCCGCCGGACTCCATCCCCTGCCCCTAGCCCAGCTCCTTGTTTTAGCTGCCGGCCCCCACTTCCCCCTCTGATTTTCAAATTTGAAATTCAAATTTGTTTCATGAGGCCTTGAATGCTTTCCTAAAATAGCTCCTTGATTTAAGGCTTCAATATTAATTAGATTTAAATTTGAATAACCAATTCAAATTATTTCTAATTGCTAGCCTCAAATTTTTGGAAACTTTCCCTCTTACAAAAATCTGAAAATTAATTCAGATTTTATTAAATATTTGATTAGTAATATGGGCCCCACTTACTTATGATTTCTAAATCCTTTCCCCTCTCTATGTGGCCGGCCCTTCAATGGGCTTAATCTCTCTCATATTTTATTAATTGCTCCACAATTAAACTCCTTGATTCATTTAAAACCGCCAGCCCCATTATGGGATTAATTTGAATTCTCAAATTAATTTCCCTCCCACCTCATCTAATGGAAATTCAAATTCAGATTTCTCATTAGTCTCTCTACTCTCCACCTAATCCACCCGTCCGCTCCCCTCTTCCTCACCACCCGAGCCCTTGCCCCCACCCGTCCCCCTTGGCTCCACCTCCCCTATGTGGCCTTTCTCCCTCCTTACACCACCTCAACGCCACGATCTCCATGATGCATGGCGGATCCCGAAATTGATAGCGGATTGGTACTCAACGTCTACGAAGACATCCACATCACTCGTTCCCCATTCTTTGACGTCGAGTTTGGCTCCGACGACATTGTTGAAGATTATTTGAAACGCATCCTTCCCACTCTCGTGGACGGCATAGACAATCAATTCCAGGACTACGATTGGACCATCAACGGCCATCCACCCGCTTCTCCAACTCCCATTTCCTCCCCGACGACGAGTCCTCTCGGCATCACCTGTGTACTAGTGGTAACGCTAAGTTTGCTTACAATCATCTTCCGTTAGCCCCCACTTTCAAGAGTGATTGAAGGACCTCCAGGTAAAGGATATATATGTTAAACGCGTAGCTTTGTTAAAATAAGCTTTTAGCCTCACCTGTATTTTTTGGTTATTAAGTTTGCAAGTTCTCGTCATCCCAATTGTAATCAATTATTGTTGCTTTGTCTCTCATGCTATTTTCTGAAACTCTACTTGAGTAAACGTGTTTTTATTGGAAGTACGCAAAGTTCAAAATATTTATTAATTCTTAAGTGCAATCCTGGCTGTCATTTTAGATTCACATCATTTCGCATATAGTTTCACATCAATATTCCTCCACTCAAAAAAAGTATAGGTGTTATCATCCTATCACAAAAAAAAATTTTAAGAAAATCTCATATTTAATAAGAAGCAAAGCTTTTCAATCAAACTCATCATTACGGAAGAGCTCTCAACTAGAAGATAAATTTAATAAAATATATATCTTTGATCGTGATATTCCTACAACACAATTTAAAAAAAAAAAAAAAAAACATACATTATACTCCTTCAAGTCTATACAAGAAGGAATAAGCCTAACCAAAGCCTCTAATAATCTCAAGGTTTGAAAACATTATCAGGTAAAATGATCAACCCATTACTATGTATCCCATCTCACTGTACACATCTTTTCAAAAAATTTCCCCGACCAATAAAGCCTTCAATACAAATACCAACCCTAAATCCATTAAAATATCATAAACTTTATTTGAGACGCTTAAAAATGAGTATTCTAAGGATGTCATGAGAGAAAAGAAGAATGCTCTAAAAAAATCACACTTGAGAAATCATTTTACCACCAAAAGGGCAGAAAATGGTATGATGCAAATGAATTATTTTTTGTAAAATATAGAGCATATGGAGCCTAAAACAAAATAAAGATTGAAACCCAAAGATTTACTCAATATTATGAAATTGACTACCAAGAAACTTTTCCTTATGCTGCAAAAATGAATAAAATCCACATTTCAATTTCTCTGGCAGTCAATCATGAATAAACCATGCAATAGTATGATATAATACTTTCTTACATGGGAATGTTAAAGAAAAAATTTCTATAAATCCACCGCTAGGATTTAATAGTTCTTTCACAAAGAACAAAGTGTGCAAATTTATAAATATAAAAAAAGCTATGTATGGCCATAAAAAATCTCTGAGAGCATGATTTTCATAAAAAACTATGAATGAAGCTAGATACAAAATAAAGCCAAGGAGATCACATCCTCTTCATAAAACACTCCATTGATGGTATCTCAAATCTCATCATCTATACTGACAATATAATTGCCATGAGTAATGATAATAGAAAGGAGCCTCTAAAAAAATGCTAAAATTTTTGATATTAAATAGTATGGCAAACTCAAATACTTTTTTAGAAATAAAAGTTGCTCTGATTGCAAACTTTACAAAATTAAACTAATCCAAATCAAAAATTGGAAGCAAATGAAGATGGAAAAAAGATGGGAAAATATTAAGATTAGTTAAAAATAATCTATTTATGTCACACTTATCCATACATTATATTTGCAGTGAGTCACATCAATTAATTCATACACAAACTAAAAAAGTCTCGCCATCAAGCTGCTTATTAAATCCTAAGATATCTTATAAAACAAGTCCTAGTAAGGAAATACTTTATAAAATATAATATGCTTTAGAAATCGAAGTATATACTATTACAGCCTATGCACAATCACCGGTGGGTAGAAGCTTCACAACTTGATATCATACATGTTTGAGAAGAAATCTCATAACATGGAGTAAGAATCTACCATTGGGTCTGAAATTAGAGTCATTGCTCAAGAAATCTACGAGCTTTCAAGGATCAAAGTTATTCTGGAAGATATATTATGACAATAAATCTACAATAAGCATTACTCATAATTCAATCCAACATTATCGTAACAAGCAATGGAGGGAGATGGAAGTTTCATAAAAAAGCATAGAAAGTAGGTGGATCTGCACACCATAGGTGCCAACAAGAAATCAACTTGTAGACAATGTCAGCAAAAAACTCTGAAATCCCAGGTCCATAAAAAGCTTGTAAGAAAACATTGAGTGATGTATTTATAACGTTTAGTTTGAGGGGCAATGTTGAAAAATTATAGGACACACAAGTCGATTAATCTTGATAGGGATCCTTGAGCACATGAATAAAGAGGTTTAATCATTGAGATCATCCTTATGGCCCTTAGATTACAATCTTTGCGTCTCCTCTTAATATTTTAGATTTCAGCCCCTCTTGAGGGGTTTTTTCCTTTTTAGTAAATAGGTTTGATTTATTGTTACCATAAGCCGGTTAGAGAAATCTATAAATATATTCCTAGTTTTTCTAGAATTAAGCAATAAAATTCATAATATTTTTTTCTAGTTTTCTATATTTCTACAAGTTTATAATGAAGAGGTAATTTTTAAAAAAAATGTAAAGTATACTTCCTTTCACTGGGAGGGATTGCTATAGTGTATTTAATTTCTCTTTGGATGAGTGACAGCCTTTATTTGTCTTTTGCTCTTGAAAAACAAAAGAGATGAAATTGAAGGCACGTTCTTTAAATTGAGTGAGAAATTTTGTATATTACAAAATGTTCTACTCAATACACTCCCTCCACCTACATGGAAAAATAAGAAATATTCATTTCTAGCTAGCATCGCAATAAATTTATATTTCGAAATATTTAGATGATGGATAAAAATGTTAACAAGCAGACGAGGACAGTAAGATCTATTTAACAACATAATAATGATGGATAAATATTGGGGGTGATAAACTTAATGTTTGTCAATAGCTCATGTTAAGCTCATTTGTTAACTGACAAGTCAAACATAAACATAATATTTAAGCTTGATTTTTTAACGAACTTAACACAAACAAAACTTCATTCGTTCGTGCTCATCTTGTTAACATTGAAATTTAAGTTTTTTTACATTAAATATGTATATATTTTTTGGTGAAATTCATGCAAAATTAAACTATTATGTGATTAAAATAATATAAAATTTTGTGGTCCGCATTCAACTATAACAGCTCACAAATAAATTATGTTGCCCAAATTACTTCCTATTTCCCTCCTTAATGGCGGATGCTAATTAAGAAATCAAGAACATGATGTTAGAATTTCCCAGTCAAGAAAATCTTTTCATTCACACAACTAATTGGCATCCATGTCAATAACTCCCTATCCTCCAATCGCAACACCACTATCTTAAATGGCTCCACATTCATCCATCTCGTTCAACCACCCATTATTTGAAACCCCCTACTTAAAATACTATTCTTGCTTATAGCTCCACCATCTTTCACTTCGTCTCATTCAACTTCCATTATCTACCTCCATCTCTCATGTGACCTCCTAAGGTGGCAAAAGCTACATGAAAACTCACCATGTTGCTGCACTCTAAAACATGGAGTTGCGAGCAGTATACATGTCTACATGTTGATTATGCATGAACTTATGCATACGTGAGTGTATGTCTAGACATATATGTATGTACGCACGAATTAATTTATATTTATATGAAGCAGCCAAGTATGTTCACACAGGATATTTTTGAGGTGGACAAATTTTCTCCAAAGAAATTAAGACTCAATTGTTTAGCATCAATCAAATAATTAGTATATTTAATTCTAAAATGTTGAATTAAGATTTGCACAAAATATAATTAGCATATCATATAGAACTCAATAGAAATGAATGGGATAAAGCTAATGACGATGATGATCTTGAATTCTGCAAAAAATTCCAGCAACTAAAGCAAGGCAATATAAGCAATTATAACTGCACTAAAGGACACAAAACTTTATACAGCACGCTATAACCACAGAAATTCAATCTGAATGCAGAGAAAGCATTGGGCTAAAGATTAATTCCACCTACGTATTTCCAACTTTAGATCCAAGAAAGCCCCCTACACCATCACATTCCCTGATGTAGTCATGAACCTCCTTGTTTAATACACATTCAAGGAAGACACAACCTGGAAAAAGAGGGTTTGTTTTTTCAGAGTAAGAGCCATTCTTTAACTTCTTTTTCTCACGAACAGCAGGAAAATAAACCTGAGGGCAGATACTGATGAAAAAATCAGGCGATGTCAATAATCTGATAGAAAGCATGCCACAACATTTAATGGAATAGACACAACAAGAGAAACCAAATCCCCTAGTTAAATGCTTCATAAAAGAGAAGGTGCAGCTGAATTTGCTACTTGCTAGTAAACAGTAAAATAACTTGATATTGAAAAAACTTTTCTTGAATTATATCAACTTGCTTTATCAGAATGCTGCACATATATGAAATGTGGAGAAGAATTCAAATAGCCACCCCCAAATGGTCAGCCTAACAAAATGAAGCAAGATTCTTAGTAGTGTTCTGCAAAAAATAAAAATATTCTAGTGATCCTCTTCGATTTGTTCGAGTAGTTGAAACGTTAAAAAACAAAGAAAGTTTTGACTTGCCATTCTGAAATTCATATTTTGTAACTTCAATTGTCGAAGCCCCAACCAAAACTTTCAAATCATGACAAAACCACCCCTATTATTGCTCATTAGAAATTAACCAAATGCCACTAGTTTAAGGAATCGGGCAACGTGAAAATTCATTTATCAAAAAGCATTTAATGGCTCCATTTCTACTAAGGATTCATTTGGTTGCTTATGGTTCCACTCATTTGGTGTGTGAAAATGGGATTATCATTCACCGGAAACTTTGACTGTATTTTAAAAGTTTATATGAATGAAGTTTTCTAGATGGGTTCAAATAATCCTCATTTTAGATCCTGTCTTAACTCATTCTATGTTGATATGCCTATATGCCTGTGATAAAATATAGTAAATTTATATGGCATAAAAAATACTCCTTGAGATATACTGTTTTCACTTGGCTAGTTGGCTTGCCTTGGTTGGGGGCTGAAAACAGGTGATGTTTTAATAATTTGAAATAGTTTAGTTAAATAGAGTTTTCGCTTCTCGGATCCTGAAAGTATTAGGCACTTACTTTTTGTATGTGATTACACCTTCACCATCTTAAGGAGCAATCTACCTTATTCCGACTCTTTTTTAGTTTAGACAGAACTTGCAACTACCTTTTGAATTCATTGAGGAATTCCCGGTGACATCCAGTTCTGTTTAAAATGATTTGTTTCTCTCATGTTGTGTTATATTATATGTAGAGAGAAATAAATAATAGGAGATTTGAAAGCAAAATTCAATGCCAAACTGCTACCTTGCATCTTATTAAAAAGGCCATCAATGCAAAGGTTGCGAGTTAGGGAAATGTGGATGAAATCAAAGAAATTTTCTGTGAATGGGGGCGGCAAGGTGCTACTAGACTGTGCTGAATGGGTTTCATACCTATCCGGATCTACAAGCTTGCACCCAGTGAAAGGCGCCTCTAGGCAACCAGGGGTTCTTGCAGCCATCAGCTCCTCTATAGCTGAGAAATGGGTATCTTTTAACCTTTCTGTGTCCAGTATTTGAATTTTCAAAACGTTTTCTTGAGTTCTCTTGATGATTTTGATGTTATATGTCGAGCATTGCTAATTTCTGTGCAGCCCTAGTGATATCTTCTAATTCTTTTTTAATTGCATTTTAGGTTTTTGTAGTTGTAAGTATGCGTCATAGTTAATCAATTAAGCTATCCTCTCAAATTTTCCCAAAAAAAAAAAGTTTATAATTAAAATTAACTTCTCACTAAGTTCAACCAAATGATGAAATCCAGAACATTCACAATTAGTTAAAACATGTTTTCAGACTTCAAGCAACAACCAGAAAAACAAATCAAGAGCATTGCATCTGCAAAAAATTGAAAATAAAAAATAAAAAAGATTAAAAAAACAAAACAAAAGGAAAATAAGAGACCTTGAACTCCATTTCCGGGAAACCTCTGGCTAGGACTCGTGCGAGGCGGTCAGCGGTCTCCTGGCCATTAACCCGGGCAACCCGGACCGTCCACCACCGTGGTCCGAGCTTAGCCAGGTTGTCAAGATTGAGCTTCTCCTTCCAGGAGGAGTACTCCTTCTTCTGCCGCCGCGCGAGGCGCTCCTCCACTTCCTCCCTCCAGCCACCGCTAACCGTGGCATTCCGCTCTCGCCTCTCGTTCCTCAACTGCCGCCTCTCCCTCGCACTGAGATCACCGTCCACGGGGGCCTTCAACGATTCCGGGGAGGTTGAGGTAGAGGAAGAACAGCAGATGGAGATGCGAAGAGAGCGGGAACGTTGAGGGAGATATGGTGGGTTTTGGATCGAGAGGAGGGAAAGCCCTTGAAGCATCTTCAACTAGTTCCCGCTGGCAGCAATTGAGGAGTGAGAGCTCTTTATCCGATTGCGATAATGGGCTGAAACTGGTATGAAGTCCATTGGGCCGCCATTTACTCTCTCTCTCTCTCTCTCTCTCTCTCTCTCTCTCTCTCTCTCTATATATATATATATATATATATATATAACTTTTTTGCATATTTATAAAAGTAGCATCAATATTAATTTTATTACTTTTTAAGTGACATGTATGAGAAAGACTTCATGTGTTCTAGAGGAACAATTATTACGTCCTCTGACCTGATGTAGAGCTACGTTCGGCCGCCAATAACATGTCTCCACATGCTCTTACTCTTTACCTCGCGGCCGACGACTTGACCCGTAGCGGAACCCGGGAATGCTTTGTTCGCGATTTTCTCGGTATTGCTCGGTATTTGCTCGGTATTTGCTAGGTATTGCTTTGCAAAAATGAGAAATACCGCTATGTGAAGACAAATACCATGCAAATATCGAGTTGTACCTAGTTTTTCTACAACTCGGTACAACTTGGTATTTGCTCAGGATTTGCTCGGTATTGCTAGAGATTTGTTCGGTTTTGCTAGGTATTTGCTCGGTATTGCTAGAAAAAACTCAGTACAACTCGGTACAACTCAGGATTTGCTCGGTATTGCTAGGGATTTGCTCGGTATTGCTAGAAAAAACTAGGTACAACTCGGTATTTTCTCGGTATTACTAGGTATTTGAAATATATCCAAAAGGTGATGGGATGTTGTTCGGCTCGTCAAGGATTTAAAAAAACGCACGTGCGAGAACCCAAAAAACAGCATGTCGGGTCGGCGTCTTTTCTTCATGCTACGTGGCGCTAAAACATTGGTGGCCGAACGTAGAGGAGCGTACGTTCACTGGACCGAATAAAAGTTCGTTCTAGAGTGGGTCTCATGAGAAGTCTCTTTACATGTTTGTGAAACTTATTTTTCCCCCTCAGGCTCCGCGGTGCTGGGTTTGGCAACACCACGACGAGATTCTCGGGAAAATCTTCATTTAATTTGAAGCACTAGTACGTGGACGGTGCAACAATACAATGGGTTTTATGAGAGTGTTGTGGTCAGCGTCACTTGGTGTCGCAACGTCAAAACAAATTTGATTATTTTAAAATATCCCCAACTACTATTCATTCAATTCATTTCATTTGAGGTAGTCGGCTTATAGAGGGACAAGGAGAGATCCTAGAGAGAGAAAGTTTGATTTGAATCGTCGTTTCGGGTCATTTTCTATTGTTGAGTCAGTTCTAAGAATTGTTTGGATTGAGGTACGTTATAATTTTTTCTATCTCACTTTTCAAAAATACTTAGATTTTCCTAATTTTCTAATTAAATGCACATTTCTATTATCCAAAATTGAGGGTAAATTTACATTGGTGAAACTTTCACATTGTAACTTTGTGTATGTTGTAAAGTCATCAATCATAATATTTAGATTTTTTTGGGGAAATTTTACACTGGGTATTTTAAAATGTGCATCTTTTTATTTGTCTGAAAGTTAATTTGGAACCCGAAAATAATGTTGTAGTACAATTAAAATCTTAAAATAGTATTTTGCACAACCTATAATAATTTGATTTTTTTTCTAAAATAATAAAGTTTGGCTCGGTAGTATATTCTATTGTTTGTAGTTATAGTACTTTGTGAAATATTGAAATGAGTTCATTTTTATTTTAATTATTGTGTTGCAATGAATTATATGCTTATTTTATTGAATGGTGTGATTTTGAGGAGTTTTGAAAGTGGATGGAGGAAGTTATGTTCTTGTGTTAAATACACATTCTAATACTCAAGGGTATATTCTGGTGTCGCTGGCACATTCTTTTGCTATATGCACATTTTGTTATCAGAATCTTAAATTTTTTATGTTTGGAGGAATAAGGCATTAGAATATTATAATTCTATCTGAGACAATGTGGGAGGCATAAGGGATCATAATTCTTTTAAAATAAGACTGATATGAGTACAAATTTGTTTATTTATTTTCAAGCATTTTATTTAAATTTCTGAGAATTGTAATTACAATTATCCTCAGCAGTGTGATGTATTATGTTTTAGTAAAGTTAAAATACTTTAATATTAGAATTATTTGAAAATTTAAATTGAAAAAAAATATGTCTGCTAAGTTGTGTTAGCTCACGGTGATTTCACCCTTCTATTTTCATGATCTTATAGGGGGAAAGAGTTTGATGTGTAGCAGTTTCAAAATCTAATATGAGACTGTAGAGATATTTTTTTCCTTTTGATTGTGTACAATCATGGCTAATTTTTATTGCTCTATTTTGTAGCTTTATTTGTAGCCATACACTGTAATTATATATGCATTTTAGATAATTAATGAAAAGAGAATTTTATGGATAGGTTTCTTTTAAGTACTTTTGATGTTGTTAGCAGCGTTATTTTTATTGTTGTAAAGATGGCCAAATTTAGGCCAATTGCACTAGTTTTTAAACTCAATCTTAAATCTAAAGCATATGTTTATAAGTGAGGATCAATCATTTAATTTTTCTATGACAATATACTTGACACCTTTCTAATGTGACACCAAATCAAATATTCTCGTATGCTTTATCAAGTTCTTATATAAGGATATCCATGGTTATCACTATACGCTTATTTTAATTTGTAATGAAAATATGTGATGCATGATATTTTACCCATTATAACTTTTTAACATAATTACAACAACTATGATTTATTGACACGGTATAATTAAGAAATATTGTTTGACAAATAAAATTGTAACAAAGGCCTTGTATATTGCAATCTTATTAGTAGGTTTTGGTTTAAACATTTGTGGTAGATTTTTCATTACAAAATAATTCTTTTTTTAAGATTGATCAATTGTCATCTATAAGTATGTGTGCGTTATTAAAGTGCACGAGCTAACTTGCAAATTGAATTAATGCAATTGCAAAATTGTAGCATATTATAATAAATATTATCCATCTAGCTAGACACAAAGCCTCATTTCTCACTCTCCTCTTTCATCTTAATACTCAAAATCATCGCCAACCATAATAACTATAATACTCAAAAATCTCCAAAATAAACTATTGGAAAAGTTTTAGGGGGCACTCAAAAGAATTATCTTATAAATACAAAATTGCTCGGGATAACATTCACCTTTATAAAATTTGTCGAGTGAATCATTCATGCTAACCTTAAAAAATATTAAGATAATCAGATGTCTCAAATTCAACTAATGAATGAATTACAATCACAATATGAACCTAGCAAATGTTAAAATGACATTAATTTATATCATTTGTTGATGATGAATATCGTTTGCATTGGATCTAATCCAATAATCAATGAATGTTTAATTTAAATTTTGATACGAAGCACTACTATAAAATAGTGGTAGTTAGGTTTCTTGTGGGGATCTATGTTCATAAGCTAATATATGTGTAACATCTTTAAAACCTTTGTATTAAAAAAGAAACATTATTGTATTATATTCATCATATTTGGTGATAATTTTCTTTTGTTTTACTATATAGTAGGCATAGTTCAGGATATCAAATTAGTTGAATTTATGTATATTATCATTTTACTCTACCTTCTCATTAAGTGCCCTAAAAATAATTCTTCCACAATATTCACCTTATATGAACCTTAAATTCTTATATATTTTGCAGTTTGGGTGAGAGCAAATTTTCATGTTCATATATTTAGCATTCTGTGGAAGACGGTCTCATGCATTTAAAATTTAAATGACCAATGATCGTTGATAGTCCCAACAATGACGGTGTTTATCTTGAGTCTCATGTTCAGTTGGGCACTATAGAATATATATGTGTCATCATTAATAATGAATCAATATAAGATGAGTAAATAACTTGTCATTGTCATTTTTTAATTTGAGTGTATCTTATTTGAAAATTTAACTTATTTAGCTATTGTTCAATTCTCTATTCAATATTTAAAGATGGAGTGCATTTGATAGATTGCACAACAATATTCAAGTAGGCATCTTATGGCATCAGTGATAATGATATGCTCTTGGATAGAACTGTTGCGTCCTAGAATATTCGTGGCGGTAGAGAAATATAAAGTTTAACGTCTTAGCTTTGTATGGAGATCCAGCATGCCTATAGATAAAGACAGGGGGTGTAGTATTCACAAGAGACACCAAGATTTTTACGTGAAAATATTGGGGGAAAGGCCTTGGATTGATGTATATCATATGAAGTACATTACATTGTGGGAATACAAAGAATCACTGTTGATGTTTTTTGCTTGGTTGGAAGAACTATAGTCGGTGGGCGGTGGAGGTAGGAAGGATTGTAGTCTATGAGCGACGTATAGGTTGGAAGGACCGTAGTCGGTGGGTGAGGGAGGTCATAAAAATCGTTGCCTGGCGACGAAGGTCGGAAGGATGACATCAGGTAAGAGTCTAGCGGGACAGAAGTCCATCATCGGATAGAAGTCCAACGAATTTCTGGTGATGGGCAGAAGTCTGGCGTCGGTTAGAAGCCCAACGAAAGTTCGAAGGCGGGCAGAAATCTGGCGTCGGGAAGAAATCCTATGACGAGCGAAGGTCCGGCGTCAGGTACAAGTCCGATGTCGAGTTGGAATCCGATGACGAGTGAAGGTCTAATTACAACAGGTTGAAATTCGATGTCAGTCGGCGATCGAGCATAACTCTAGAGTCAGATGGCATTCGGGGCAGAACTTCGGCGTTGGTAGGCTGCCGGGTGGAAATCCTGCGGTGGTCGAGGAAGAGTCTGGTGACAAGAGAGCTCTCTTTCTTCTCTTTTTTTTTTTTTTTTTTTCTTCCTTCTATTCTTGATTCCTTGCTGAATTCCGGAGTTAGTTGGTGATCGGGCAGAAGTCCGGCGTCTGTTGGCTGTCGGGTGAAAGTCTGGCGGTGGTCGAGAAGGAGTCTCTTCCTTCTCCTCATTGCTTCCTTCTCTTCTCTTATTCCTTGGACCTCCTTCCCGCCCTTTGGGGTCCTCTTCTATGAGAAATGAGATATCTATTCATAGTTATTTTAGAGTGGCATGGCCAGTGAA